TAACTCAAGTTTTCCTTTGCTAAATGTAGCTAGAATTCAATATTTCTGCTGTTAAAAAAGCTCTGAGAATTTTAAAAAGTCTCTCTCCATGTACTGTTTTCTTAGTGTTCTCCATCATCCTGTAGTCATGTCAGTAACAGAAATAGGTTATTTTTCACCAGTTCTTTTCACCTGTTGCCTGAAAAGCACAGACAAATTACATTAGGTTATTAATTGCAGGTATCATGTGGTGTATTCAACACAAAATATCTAGAGCTACAGTAAGAGTTTTATATTACATATCTGCAAAAGATTGTTGCCCACTACAATCTTTTTGCCCCTGTTGCCCACAATTGCAACAAAAAAATCATGTACTCAGCAGGTTGGAAAGCCGTGAGGGAGAGATTTTATGCTGGGAGACGCTTCATGTGTCTGCTCTTTGCTATTACTCTCTGAATAAAAAAATCATGTACTCAGCAGGTTAGAAAGCCATGAGGGAGAGGATTTTATGCTGGGAGACACTTCATGTGTCTGCTCTTTGCTATTACTCTGAACAGAATGGGAGTCGTTGGAAAAAACACCTTTTAAACAAATGTAAAATGCCTTAGATTCAGTAAAAGTGAATTGTACTTGCATTTGCTATTATTATTTGTGTTTTTGTCTAAGTGATTGAGATGATCAAGAAGGAAGTATGCTCCTGGAATATATTTGGTGGTGGTGGACATTAGCTTAGTTTGGTAGAATGAATGTAATACCAAAAAAGCCAGTCATAATTTATTTAGGATAAACTAATAATGTAACTTAGTTTTTAGCCTTAGATGGAGAGATCATTTTGGGTGTATGCCAGAGCATATATGCTCCATGTATGGAGCACTCGCATATATGGAGCTTGTACCCTCTTGTGGGGTGCCACTGTAGTGTGCAGAAATTTTATTTAGACTAAAATTTTTGATTATATTTACACAGCCTATACAGACCTTTATAAAAATAGGTTTTAATTACTTTGATTTTTAATGTGTATCTGAAAACATAATGTATATTTTTTAGTGCTTTATCAGGTTTTCATAGTCTTTATGCAGATAACTATTTGAATTAGGATAAAACCTATTCAATACTAGTCCCTGTTTTTGGTTTGGTAGGTGTTGCTTATGTTTTGGTTTGGTTTTTGTCTTTATTTACTTGATGGTTACCTCCGTTCTGTGGCTGAAAGTCATCATAATGGGATTTGCATTCACTGTCCCCCTGTCCTTTCTGTCTTATATCTGAATTCCCTGTAGATATGAACTTGGGGTTGTTTGACTTTCCCAGGAGCAGCAGCTCTATGGAGGCTGTTACAAGTTACAGTAGGTGAGTGTAAGCTGGTAGCATCTCTGCACTAGTAGGAAGTGTTTCAGTGATGGGGTTCTATGCTGTTCTTGTGTGTGGTTTCTGCATTGGAGGTTTCAGGATTTGAATATCGGTTGTGGTCTCTTTTGTGGCTGTACAAAGACTATTCCAGCAGAACAGGCTCTGGTGATTATGTATGGATTATCTTTACTATCTTTCCTTGGCCCTTCATGCCTCTTTGCGTCTCTGAAAGTAGTTTTCAGAGTAATGACTTTGTTTCTATTCCCACTTCTTGAATGCTTAGTCTCTTGCACAGGAAAGGAAGGAGAACATGATTCTCCTGAGCCTCCAGGTCCTTCACCTCTCTTTCAGGACTGATGTGCTGGAAAAACAGAGTTGGTTAAGCCTCTGCAGTCTGTCAGTGCTGCAAATGCAAGTACTTGTGCAGTGTTCCAGGTGTTAGATGAAATGTTCCTGTTGGAAAACTACTGTTTGACAGAGCTGCTGCCTCCCTTTCTTCTCCCTCCTTCCCTTCCAGCCTGTGACCTGTAGTAGAGCAGGCTTAACAAGGAGGTTGCAGGAGACCAGCTCCTGCTAACTGACAACATCCATTTTACAGTGAAGGGATGCTGAAGTTGAGTATCTTGGCCACAAGCATGACATATGGAGCAGTAAATGGCTAATGCTTTATTTATTTTTTAAGTTGGCAAGTATATTTACTTTGATTTATTACTCTCTGAAGAGTGTTTTCTGTCAGCATTTCAGCCATTCAGTTTCCCTCAAGGAAGCAACATTTTAGGTTTTTCACAGTTTTGCTGGAGGAAGAAATACTTCAATGAAACTGATGGATTCGTAACAGGATCAAGGCACCACTCCAGTTTTCTGATTACTTCGCATGTCAGACTAAGGAGAGAATGATAGTGATTAGAAATTGCCTACAAAAGGGAAATGCTAAAAGTCACTAGGATTTGCCTTGTAAAGGGTCTCCAGTCCTTAAAACAATCACAGAAAATAGAAAATATCTATAGAAAATATCTCAGCAATGGCCAGGAATACTCTGAGGGAGAAGTTCTGTAAAAGGCACTATCAGGGACTTCCTGGCACAGTTTTGAGTGTGAGACATGACTGTGCTCCCTCAGTGAGTTACTCGTCTTTACGGCATGAAGCCTTATGGCCCACAGGAAGAAATATTAAGCCTGCTTCAAAACCAAGTCCCTATTTCTGGCAAAAACCAGAAAGGTTTTTGCAGGAAGATGCATTTAGCATTCAGACTCTTGTGGGAATTTAACTGGGGACAAGGAATAAGCATTGAAGCCAGTAATAATTTCTACATTTGAAAGATGGAAATTAGGGGTAATACATTTAAATAACGGTTAGAGGATTTTTTCCCCAGAAAAAAAACTACTTATATAAGAAGTATTTGTTTTGCAAACCATTATATATAGAGAGATATAATACTCCCTTTCAGTAGTGGAGAGAAATAACCTCCTGTGTGCGAGTTCAGTGTGCTTGCAGTCATTCAATTCAGAGCATGGCCTTTCATGTGTGTAAACTCATTGTTTTCTCTTATGTTATGGACAGAGATGGGCTTTCTCAGGACAGAAAGCTTGATTCTGCAGTGCCATGATATATAGATGTAGCTAAACAGGAGTGCTCAGCTCCTGGCAGAGCCAGAAGTGGTTTATAAGTAAATCTGGGTAAATAGTTTTCTGTCTTGGGCTGTATTCTGTAATAGGAGAAAATGTTGGGTTTGGCTCTTCTGACTTCTACTACTACCACAAACACTCTTAACTTACACACTGAGAAAGATGGAGAAGTTTCAAATGTTAAGCTTGATGAATGAATTAAATGTTAAAAAAACCTGCAAATTCAGAGTTTTGCAGAGGACACTATATGTACACTCCCAGATGTATCACTTTCACCACAATCAGTGATTTTTGTGTAAGATTCAGAGATGGCAGAGAATCTCAAGCTTGTTACTCAGTTAAGAGTATAAACCCACTGAAATTTCTTCTGACAGCAGAGAAGTGAAATGCACTTTTAATGAAAATATTTAGTTTTTCTCCCTCTCAGAAATGTTGGTATTAGTCGTAGTGCCCTTAAACATTTTTTATTATAGTTGTTTATTAAGAGAGCATGTGGCATGCTTTCCTGCTTCCAAAGTGAATACTTAGAAAAGTAGATTTCTGTGTTTGCTTTATTTTAAAGCACTCTTTGCATAGCTACTAGGCACTGCAGTGATAGTAGACACATTGCATAGAAGCTCATTAATTTATTTTTTAGAGAAAGCAGTGTTGTTCTAGGAAGCTGTGACTAATGTTTTTCCTCTTCTGGACCTTTGGAGGATGACCATTTTGGTTATTGAAGACCTATACTGGAGCTCTGTCTGTGCTTAGTGTTGATTTGTAAGGAAGTGCAGTGTGTTGTTCAGCTGTAACAACTGTAAAGATGCAATGTGACGTGATGAAGACTAGTAAAACAGGAATCCTCGTTGCAGTACTGTCTTTATTGGATAGACCTTTGCAGAGGGAGGGTACAGGGTACAGGTTTCTCCTGAAAATTAACATGAGTATATTTACACACACTTCTTACATATCTCTGTGTGTGTCTACATGCCTAATTCAAGGAGTTAGATTTGGTGAGCAAGTAGAGATTAAGGCAAGAGCAGTAGCTGCCAAGGTATCTGTGACTTACTCAGTTCCAGACCTTTCATTCAGATGGAAGAAAAAGGTGCTATGTAGATGACTGTTAAAGCCTAACATTTTTGGATTTGTACTCTGTTTTACACTGAGTAAATACATCTTATTTACCCATTAATAGAAAAAAAATTATTTACCATAAGTACATGTTTTGTGTCCTAGATTCCAGAATGAAATAACCAAATTAGAAGCTGTTAATTGTATCCTACTGATATGTAGGATATATAATGATATGTACATGTATCCTACTGATGGAATTATATATTTGTTCTATTCTATTCTATTCTATATTGTGATGTTCTTTCTTTGATTTTCAAATTAAATTAAAATCCATGAAGATTGTAGCTTTAAAGTCATGTGTACTGAGAACAAAGGGAAGCTCAGTCCACTGACATGGAAGAAAGTTTGGAGTCAAGAACGAATGAGAGTGTACTTCTGCTTTAAATAAAAGATAAAAGGATTATTTTTGGTAGGGAACACCAGTTAAAACAGCCTTAAATTCCATGTAGCTTTATCCTGCAGTTCAGGAAGGGTTTATTGATGCTGTAAAGAAGATTCTCCTGCTCTTTTTAATTGCAGCAACCAGTTTTTCTTAAGCATCATTACCAAGGTGTGTACTTCTTCATTTACACTTGTATTTCCTATTTTTAAATAGTTCAAGGGTTATACCTTCTAATAGTAAAAGATATTTAAATGAATCTCTAAGTGTTTGTACAGTTAGACCAGACCTTATATATCTAAATCACTTTGATAAGAATGTGGTTTTCACGAAAGAAATGTCCCATGATTTTAGCTTTTATAAAATTTACTGCCTGAGTCTTCCATATTTTGTTAAAAAAATGTATTTTTGTTTCCATGTCTTAAATCATGTGAAATTTTAATAATATTTTCAGATGTTCTTTAACTTTGAAAAAAGACTTAACAATATTAAACTTTAAAAAATATTTTTATTTCAAAGAGGATAAAAAATAGCTAAGACCATTCTGTTTTCTGCAGTATTTTGGAAGCTTGCTTGTAATATTCTGCGTTGAACTGGCCTGTGGTGTTTGGACCTACGAGCAGGAAATAACGGTGAGTCAGAAAAGGAGACTGCATTTTTTCAGCAGAATAAAACTAAGTTTTCCATTAGCTAGCTGTTTTCTAACTGCTATAGTGTTTATCTCTGTTCATTATTCTGACAGGTTAATTTCAACTGATTGCCTTCATTTTAAACAGAGAATTCTCCTGGGAGAGCTTGTCTGTCTGGAAGGCCCTGTCTGGGTTTCTCCTTACCCCCTCTATATTTGAGAGCCAAATACTTCATCCCCCCATTTAAGAACTTAACTTTTTTAATTGTTGCTCAGGCAGGTTCTCATTGAAGTCTTCGATATTTTTGAGGATAAATTAGAACTTCAGGCTTAAATATGGATTTTGAGAGAGGATACGAGAGAATTTGAAGGGATTTTGTCCCGAAAGTTCTTTGTGTTTTAAAGAGTGTACTACATTGTAAACAGACAGTGTGCTCTTTCCTTAGAGGACTTGCTGCCTGCTAAAATCTGCACAGTGCCTCCACAAGCTATAAATGCCAGTTTTAAGCAAAACATGTCTTGACTATAAAACACTCCTCTGTAAACTTGTGAAGAGGTTTTGTCTCTTGTCCAGTTTTTATAATTACACCAACCTTTAATTTTTCAAACTGAGATCTTGTAGCCATCACGTAAGAAATATAGGTAAGTGTTGAGCAAATTAAACTGAAATGTAACTGCTGGCTGCTGTATCCCTACATCTTGTACTCAGTCTGGTACATTTTTATGAACAGAGGGACAAATATTTTTCTCTCAACTGCCAAGATATGCCCAATATAATGGTCTTTCCAGCAGTGAATGACAATTATATTGCAGTAAGATGTGAGGTAGCTTTCTTGATATTTACACAGTACTTGGACCAAAGGAATTTCTGGCAGATTTGAAGTTACATAGCAGGACTTTGCATCAGAATTCATTCCCCTGCAGTACAGATTCCAGGAGGCTATTCTAATACAATGGAGATTAAGGCCATTCCTTTGCTTTAAGTGTCAGCTTGCGTTGATTCATTTTAAAATTGGGAATGCAGACAAGAGGCATTCTTCATGTTATGGGCACAGCTGCCCTCTGCAGGGGTTTTGCCAAGGATGATTGTTACAACTAAAATGCATTAATTCCACAAAAATATTGTCAGTGAAATAACATAGCTTTCGCAGCACTGGAACATGCTTTTTCAACCTTCACTATTTAATTGGAAAATATGAAGTTATGATGTGTTTTAGTATGACCCCCAAGCTTTTGGTTATCTACTATTCTACTGAAACCCAAACCTGGGACAGTTTGATAAAGGCTGGCATAGCCCTACCACATGTTATGTTACCAGTCATGCTGTTTCCCTTCCGAAGGAAACATGGCTGTCCCTTCAGCCCTTTGCTAAAGGAAGCAGCACTGGTTTACATGTCTGCATGTACTGGATTACATCTTCTGCAGTGGGTCACAGCAAACACAATTGCTCTTTTTTTGCTTTTCTTTGTCTCTTTTCTTCTCTGCCTATATATATGTATTTTTTTTCTTCCTCATATCCTGAAATACTGGTTTAGGTTGGGTCTCTTTGGTTGTTATTTTTTTGTTGTTTTCTCTTTCCATCTATTTTTTTACTATTATTCCCTTTGTCCCAACACTACTGTTCTTCATGTGATGAGGTAGGTTTCTTGCTGCTGAAAATCATAAGGAAGTCTTGAAGAGAACAGTTAATTTTTTCAGTGGTTCTTCCATACCTGTGTAGGTCATTCCATAGAATATGCTTCCTCCTACTTCTTATAACCTCCTTCTAACCTTATAACTTCCCTCTTATAACCACAGAGTTGTCTTGATATCATGCTGGTTTCAGTGTAGCATTAAATCACATGAGCCCCTGGTGGGTTTCAGAGATCAGTTTGCATTAGTGTAGGTGGGTGTGTAGTGTAGTGTGGGTGATGTTGTCAGAAATGTCACTGAGGTGTAACTGCCTCTGCTGATCAGTATGGGCTTTCCTTGGTATGTGGACAAGTTGCTCTAAGGGTCCTTGCATAAACAGCTTTCCTTCTAGCTCATGATAGTTCTCAGCATGTAGTGTGCCTCATGACTAATTTATTCCACCCACAAGATTGAAAAGCCAGTGTGGGTCCTTGGCTTATTTATGCATTGATCAAGCTTTGATAGTCACTAGAAAAATAATAATGAGTAATTAGATCTCAGTGGCAGACTGAGCTTTATAGAACTTAGGTTGAAATCAAAGCAGCATCTCTAGTTTTTGTTTGTCTGCACATGAGTATTGGGTATAGTCAAACAAATGCATCTCTATCATGTATTATTGTGCACTAGTGTGTATATGAGGTGACAGGAAGATATTTAATAGATACATCAGTGTACCTATTACCTGTACAGTTTTACCTGTTGGCATTCTTGCAACAAACACACAGATTCTGAAATCCCTCCTTAGCTCCAGCATTCAAATCACTTTCCTACAGTGGGGTTTACATTGTTTCACTTTGCTTTTAATTTCTGTCTCTCACTTATTAAGTATTTTTTTCCCTGCTTTCCATTGATTTCCTAAAGAAGTTGGATGTATTCTGTTGTGGACATAACCTTGGAATGTGTTTAACTCAAGTAAGTTAAAAAAATATTCTAAGCAATATTTGCTTAATTGCAGCACTGTCAAATATTATCCAAAGAAAGCAGAGTGCTAGCTTACAATGCAGACGAAAGAGAAATGCATTGAGTATGAAACTAAATTAATTATAGTGACCTGTGTAAATGTTTCTGATACAAATATTCTGTGATAATGCTTTTATGTATTTTTAGTACTCTACTGCTAACTTATTTTTCATGTGAACCATTGTGAGTTCATTGCAAAAATCTGCTAAGTGAAAGGCACGTAAATTTCTGGGACCTTATTAATACATTGAAGATCTGAAGCTTTACTAGGGCATCAAAAATGTAGTATCACTTAGCAGTGATAATGAAATGTTATCAAATGTTCCAAACTGTATTAGGAGTTTAGCCAGGCAGTGATTGTCTCTATATTTTTGCAGAGCATCTAGCACAATGAAGACCAGGTTCCATGGAAAGTATTGTGCAAATTTTCTTTTCTTAGATAACATTTTTTGCTATTTACAGAATGTCCTTACTGTTAGCTTCAAATTGAATAGGAGAGCAAAGTCATGGCTGCTAGAGGAGCTGGCTCCCCTCCCATCCAAGTGACAGCTGACATTGCAATTGTTGTTTCTTTCACCATGACTATTAAATCTAATAGAGACTAGTAAAACTCAGAATGGATGGTATGTGGTGACAGAATGGTGACTGCAGTCTTCAGATCCTTGTTTTGTTTTGGCACACTGAAATTGTGCTGCTGAGTTGAAGTAAGGTTTTGATTTTGACTCATAACTTCACTGTATGCCAGGTGCTATAGCACTTGCCTGTGTTTGCAAGAAATTGCTAACTGAGGTGTCATATTAAGACAATGGAGTGCTCCAGCACCTCACTTCTGGGTTGTCACAGTTGAAAGAAAAATACTTCAGGAATCCTTTCAGAAGAGAAGATATTCACAAGGCTGTGAGTGTGTTTGGGGAAAAAAGGTCATAGGGCCTTGTCTACACTTCCTCGTTGCTGTTCTTGAGCAAGTTACTGAAATGGAGCACATTCAGGACTCCAGACAAAGACAAAAAATGGCTGAAAAAACTCCAGGGGTAGAATTCATGTCAATTAATTTTACATGTGTGGAAGTTAGACATTTAAATCAAAGTTTTTCACCTTAGACAGTTAAGTAGATTTGAGACTTCAAGGGAATTATTCATCTGCTCTGTTTAAATTATTTATCTTGAGGTGAATTTCCCCATTTGGCTGTCTGTTGATTTCTATTATCTAAGACAACACCAGGGGGGATACCTAAACTAGGGCAGACAAAGACATCCCTGATGACGTGGATGGGACTCAGTTCAAGTTTTATGCCAAGTAAAAAATCTGGTAATGATATAAATAAATTGTACCAAATCATCCCTGAATGTCTCCAAAATGTAACTGCTTTTCATTGTACTTTAATTTGTAAGCAAAGGACACAACTTTTCCTTGATATTTTAAGAAAGGCTTGTAAAGCATTAGTATAATAAAAATTGCAACACTTGTTTTCCTGTTTGTTTGTGTACACAGTTATTTTAGTCATTGCACTGGAAAGATCTCAGTACAGATGGAACCTGTGGGTTTGGAGCCACAAGCCTGCTGATCCACTGTGTCAGTCACTTCTCTCTCCTTTCTCCAGGTTCCAGTGCAGTGGTCCGATATGATCACACTGAAAGCCAGGATGACCAATTATGGCTTACCTAGGTACCAGTGGCTGACCCATGCTTGGAATTTCTTCCAGAGGGAGGTAAGATGATAGTTAATTCATTAACTAAAAGAGTACCTCAGCTCAGTGAAAAGGTTGGGCTTTAATTGAGTAGGCAAAATAAATGCAAGCTCATTTGGTATGAAACACTGTAGTGTCTTTTAACATCACTTGATATCCAGTTCTTTGGTTTTTGTAGGCCCTAAAGGTACTTAAACACCGAAACCAGAATGTTAATAAATTAATTTAAATTGCTAATATTCTCATATCCTTTCTCAGTAAGGTTAGGACACCAGTACCTTTTAGGATTATGATAGCATTAAAGGATATGATGTATGTAAAATTAAAAATCTGCAGGTAAAGTAAAATGACTGTGTCTATATGTTGTTTTAATATTAAACTGTGCTCCCCTTCCCATAGGCTCTGTTAGTTTCCTTTCATGGAGCTGTCATGGTTAAGATATGTTTAGCTGGAAAGGAATGAGAAAGGAAGTTTCCAAAAAGATGCCAACACTGTCTCTTTGGCCGAGGTTTGTGAAAGTGATGAGGGTTTTTATTTCCTTTGACTGGGGGGTGGGAGACAAACCAAAAAGCTTCCTTGTGTATTCACAGCTTTGCCCTCTAGCCTACAAAAATTCAGAACTGTTTTTATAGAATGAAGTATTATGTTACAGAAACATGAAATTGCCCAAGGTAAAACCCATTAACTCCAAATATAACTCACGTGCAGGAAGAGAGTTCTTTAAATGCCTGTCATTGTGCTGCTCTTGTTGAAATGTTGAAATCTATCATTGTTGCACAGATTTCCTGTTTATTTAAACATTTCCTGGCAGCACTTGGTTAGTCTGTATTTATATTAAAACCTGGAAGAAAGAGGTTACACACCAGCACCCCCCTCCTCCCCCACCCAGTTCCTTGCTCTGGCCATGTGAATGCTCTGAGTAATTCTTCATATGCAGTTAGAGTGTTTATGTCTGTTATGTATCTGAGATAATACAATCAAATGGTCACAATCAATTTGCCTTGAATAGAGCTGGTACTGTATCTTAGTTGGAATGTGTAGGTTGATCAAATTAAATACTACCTCCTCTCCTAGTTGTTGTCATTTCATCATAATGACTGGTTATAATATGAATATTAATAATAAAACTTCAACTAAGCCCTAGTTTTTCTAGGGGAGAAGAATTTCCTTTAGAAGTTAGAAGAAGTTTTAGAAATTAGATTTTCATTCTGGCACCTGTGACCAGATGAATGATTTGGGGAACTGAGAAAACTCTGTTACAGTTTCTACTTCACTGGTGGGCTCTCATTTATATTCCATCTACTCATAGTTTAGATGCTGGATATATGAGCCTGGCATGTGCTTTATGTCTGAATAAGCACTTGTAGCCCTTCTACAGTCAGCAGAATTGTAATTGCAATTCTGTTCAAATCTGTGTTGCAATTTCAAATCTGTTCTGTTCAAATCTGTGTTGCAATTTCTGTTCAGAGGTTCAGCCCTGATCAGCTTGGTATTCTTTCTTCTGTATCTTTTAACATCTGAGGGAGATGGGAAATGTGTTCTCCCCCAGTTTTCTTGCTGGTCTGAAATCAAAATTGTGACTATGGTAGGGAAGATGGAAAAGGTCAGCAAAGAGCTTGGTGGGGGAAGAAAAGATAGAAGAGAACAAAGATACAAGAAAAGGGTGTTTAATGAGGTGGTCTTTGCAGTTGCAATGAGAAGCCAAAGCTTGAGATTTCCTTAAAGCCCAGTGCTGGGAGGAGTTTGAGTAACAAACCAGTAAAAACTGAGCTGTGAGCTGTGGTATAGAAGGGAGAAGTGAGAATTTTAAGAGGACCAGTGTATTAAAGGTGCAGTGTGTGCCAGCATGTCTGAGCACTGATCTGCTTGATTGTGAACAATGAGTGGTGTGGAATACAGGACCCTGGCTCTGAAGCAGGTAGAGAGGGGCAGCTGTGTTCCCAAGCCTGTGGGTCAAAGGACTCAGGGAATTACTTACACTCAGGCTGGTCCTGGAGGACGTTCAGGCAGAGAAAGGCAGCATCTTGTTTCTGCAGCAAAACATCTTTTCAGTCATGTCAAGTCCACATCCAGTGCCAAACCAGATCTAATGTAGCTGCTTCACCATTTTCTGTGTGAAAGCAGCTGCTAATGTGGGAGACTGGTCATTTGGCTTTTAATCTCAGGGTGTACTTTGCAGAGAAGAAGACAGGTTGTTGTTGGTCCTGGTGGGTTTTATAGCCAATTATAGCTCATCTGCTTTGCAGCCAAACTTCTTATTTTTGTGGTTGATTCTGTTGCAGTATTTATTTTAATGTGGTACCTCTTCCTTCCATTTTCAGTTTTCTTTTCAGCGTTTGCGATTTTTATACATATTTGCTTACTCTTTTATTTTTTTTTATGTTCAGGTAAATCTGTGCTTATTCTGTTTTCAGTAAATGTGTGTGTATTTGTACCCTTGCAAGAACAGTCCTCACTAGTATGACCTTTTTCTGCTACTCCTTTCAGCCACAGGTGTACTTGTTCATTAGTCCCCATTTTGACATGAAATTGTGTTAGTTCCTTGTAGTAAAGTTAGGACAATCCAGAGATAGGACAATTTTGTGAAGCATCCTTTGAGGGAGCAATTGGGATTTAAAGGACAGAGCAGTATTGTTGGCTGTTTCTGAAGTATTCATTGGTCACTACGTTACGTTTTTCATGTTGCTTCTATGTCAAAGTACAGCAAAACAAGATACATGGAGGCATTCATAGATGTTTTTAGTTCTGTGTAAATATTTTGAAAGTTGGTATTAGGAACTTGGTTAGGTTTTTTGATGACCTACTTAACCTGTTGAAGAAGTAGCATCATTATTACTGATTTTGGCTAATCCTTCCTTTGCAGTTTAAATGTTGTGGAGTGGTGTACTTCACAGACTGGCTGGAAATGACAGAATTGGACTGGCCACCTGACTCCTGTTGTGTCAGAGAGTTCCCAGGATGCTCTAAGCAGGCACATCACAAGGATCTCAGTGACCTTTATCAGGAGGTAAGGAGAAAAGTATGAATATGTTGGAAGGTTTTGTACATTCTTCCTGAGCCAATAATTTTTCAAATTCATCATTTGAAATGCAATGGATAATTTTTTTGTAGAGTAGTCGTGTTTATGGAAAGTGTTTATGGTTATTATTTGCTAATGCTGAAGCAGAGGGAGAAAAGAAAGAAGAACAAACCCATGCACCCACCCACCCTTACCTGGAAATGAGATGAGTTAGTGGCAATGCCATTAAAACCTGAGATGTACTTGAAATTTGAAGTGTTTGTTTTATATTGGTTAGGTTGAAGTTCAAATTTGTTCCAATCCAAAAGTTATAAATTAGGTGTGACGTAATGGCCAGGTTCCATCCCATCAAACTACCACAGGGTAAGTGGAAGAGTACTTTAGTGAATTGTACAGTGAAGGATGCTTTTGGTAATTCCTTTAAAAGATAAGAGCTCTCTTGTTAACAGAAATCCTGTCAGGAGGCAGATAATTGGATTGTTGTACTCTGAGCATGTGTAGAAATTTGTTGTGAAAATGCTCTTTCTACATTACAGTATGATCATTTAAAAAGAATTACAAAGAAAGCCTTAAAACAAGGCAAGGACCTGTTTGAAGTGGGTAAGGGAGGTCATGATAGTAGCAAGGTATTACCATTTTTAGGGTGAAAATTAAAAAAACAAGAAAATATGCTCTTTACTAAACAGAGCAGAGTTTTCTCTGTTCTCACAAATACTGTCTAAAGTCACCTTTTTCTGAAAACTACTTTGTTAGCCACCTTTTTTTTACGCTAGCAAATCTCTGAAGACCTGTAATTGTACATTCAGTAACAATAGAATGACCAAGTAGTCCAACAGCAGACAGAAAGCATGGCTCAGTCACGTAGCTGTGAGTATCTGAGAAGAGGTGCAATCTTTATTGGATTGCTTTTAGAGTAATACAGGGTGCATAGGGTAGTAACACAGGGTCCCAGGCCTGGGAATCATGCTTTCAGATGCTGCAGCATGAACATTTCTCCAGTGGATGGTGCAGCTCTGCATTATGGAAGAGTAACCAAAGAACCATTTTATTTTCTCCCAATCTCAGAGGCTGTTTAAGACCTGTTCTTACAAGAATCTGTTGCATGGGTCCTGTTAAGGAGCTATGCAGCAGCATCTCTGAAGCAGAGGAAATTCGCTATATAAACAAACCAAAATGAATATTAGCTATTGTCAGGAAACAGTCACGTTTTAGGGAAATTGATTTGTGTGGTATTGACTCTATGAACAGAAATTATTTAATCTAATCTGGACTTTTTGACATCTGTTTTAGGAGGCTGTGTGCTTCCACTAGGAAGAGAGAAGATAGAGCTGCCAAAAGGCAGGTGCCTCAAAAGGCCAGTCTGTGCTAGGAACCTTAAAGATGGTGGCAGAAGTTGGTTTTTTTTCCCACCAGCTACTTGTAGACCTTCTCTTGCTTTTTGGCAAGGCTCACAGCACTGACAGCACTTTAGGTTATGCTTTAGGAGTGTCAGTCCCTGAATGAGAAAGGCATTCAGGCTTCTTCTGCCAGTCCCTTACGTGTTTTGAAAAGCTAAAAATTGTGGCTCACTCTGCAATAATGGTTGCTTTTTTTAATACTGTTGCTACCATACACACAAGTCTGTTGTAGAGAGCCTCCAAGGAGTATATAGAACTGTGCAGAACATTCATTTGCTCCCTGCCTGAAAAGGCAGGAGTATGTAAGCAATGTCACTCAATGAAAAACTGCTGTTTGAGCACAGGAAGCTCAGAAATTTCTGAGAAGTATTAGTTATTGGAATGTAGTGTCCAAAGTGCAAGGTTTTCTTGTCTCACCTCTTTTGCTAACATTTCATGCCCATGCCATATTCCAGGAAAATGGCTCTTTCAGCACTTCATGTGATCAAGTTCTTTTGATTCTATTTGGAGAAAATTAATAGCCAAAGATGATTATTATGTAGGACATAAGGGCTGTGTTAAGACCTTCTTGATAAAAGAATATCTGCTTTGCTTTTTTTTTCAAAAGAAATCTGAAGGGCACACTTGTGGTTCATCCCTTAATGTACCACAGACCATTTTGCATAGATTCAGCAGTTAGCAAAAATTTATTTTTGGTTCTCCACAGCAGAATCCATTCCAAAAAGGGACAGGCTGTGTTTGGTAGTATCAGCCACAAAAATACTTCATTTCTCTTGGAGATACATACAGTATTTTATTGGCAAGATGTTTCTTTGTGTGGTGCTTGCCTGTTACAGTATGCAGTATGCTTACAGACTCTTACAGTATGCTTGCTAATAAGTTTATCAGTATTATGCAAAACCAGCTTACACTTCCATGACTAATCTGCCTAACTTCTGCTTTGGAGAACTGAAGGAAAAAAAACTTTTTTAGAAAGTGATTCAAACCAAACTTGCATAGTCTGGTGGTTTGAGAGGGAGCCTGATAAGATTAGCCTCGCTAGCCTAAAATTGGTTTATGTAAATATTTGGCAAGTCCATTCTGGTACTTCAGAAAAATTCTTTGTAATACTTCAGAAAACTGAAGTTTGGTGTGTCTGGGACTGATAAATGTGTTTTTTTGTAGCTGTGCTGTGATTTTTTGCCGGGAATTTTATCTATAGTCTAAGTTGGAATCCTTCACAATTTAATTTTTGCAGAAAGAAAGGTGACTTACAGTTCTGCTTGAAAGTACTTTTGGCAGGAGTCATATTTTCCCTGCTGGATATTGAAAGCTATTTTTCAGTTTCTTGAATTGCTTTTATTCTAATGAGCTTTGCCTTTGGTGCAGTTTCATGAACAGACTGACCTTAGGGCATGGTTGTGGGGGAAATGTGAAGATGATGATGTGGCCTTGGAGGTTTGTTGTGGTCTGAGGACAAGAGGATCTCTGCCCATCTTGTGATTGGGAGCTGCAGTGTAGATAAAATGATTGGTGGGAATCGATATCTTAAAAAATCCAACTTGCATGTTCTATATTTTCTTTTGGTTTCTGATATAGTTTTGAGTATACTCAAAATTCATTTCAATTAAATTAATTTTACCTCAATTTTGGTTTGTTTTAATATTTAATTTTACAACTTGCTTTAATATACTTTTGAGTATACTCAGAATTTGGATTTACAAAAGATTTGTTGAGTTTGCTAATGGCTTATCTTTTCTGCTCAGTGAAGTGCTTTATTTCAGTTCACATTCTTACTTCTATGATGATTCTTACTTCTTTACTTCTATGATTAAGTAAATCAGTAATATATGCTAAATAAGAAATACATTCTTATTTCTATCTCAAGACTGAAAGTATAACACAAATGAATCAGGCCTTTAATCTGTAGCTTTGTAGGAGTCTGAAGCTGATTCTCCTGAATGATTGCTGCAAAGTTTTATACTATATTTGATTTGTTAACAAGAGCTCCCCATTTAGTGACAAGCTTTTGCTGAGGGAAGTGTATTTATGTACTGTTTAATTGCAGGCTGCCAACTATGGAAGTGTCACGTAAGCAGAAATAAAATGCATGAATGTGAAATTAACAAGGCTGGCTGTGTTTTCTCAGTTTTGAAACTGATTTTGAACACGTATTAGAGCAGAGCTCCAAGAACATCATTGAATGGAGGAAAACAGTCTACCTAGACTGGGCACAATTTATCTCAGTTACGTGTCTGTGTACTGCAGGAGATGTAGGCATTAATGTTATTGCTCTCTGTTAGTGGGTGTTTTCTCTAGGCAACAAATGAACTAAGTTTGAATATTGCTGTGGTGGAACATTTTAAAATTGTGACCAGCATGCACCTTTATCTCTTTAAGTTAGAAGTTTTAAAATACAGCCAGTTTCTCTGTAATTAACAACAAATTTGGGAAGTGATATAGCTGCAACTGCCTTCCAATTGAAGAAAAGAAGATGCCGATGTGACAGTTTTTGTCTCCCCATCAAGTCCAATTACATTGCTTTTGCTGCAGTGTTGCTTCTTTTTCTTTTGAAATTTCAAAGAATACATGCTTGCTCCTTTTTGTGTGTCTTTGCTGATGTTTAGAAAATGAAGCAATGAAACAAGCAAAGACATCTAGATTCTATAATTTATTCTGGTGGAATTATCATAGAGTACATTAATTTTATTTAGATCCTAAATGAAAATCTGTTGACTGCAGTGTGAATTCTGTGTGTGTGGCAAAAATTGGACCTTACATCAAATACTTTTAGGACTGTAGCATTTGAAATTGGCTTTGGGGAAATTAGCTTTGGGGAATTTAAGTGTGATTGAGAAGTGTTATTTATCATGTCCTGTCTTCAGATTCCATCACTTTGATCGATTGCTTTATTTTCTTAGAAAAGCTATAAGAAATATGAAGTAAGGATATAAATACCAAAAATAGCATTCTCAAGACAGTGCCCATTTTGATGGATTCCTGATGTCTGTGTCTGGGACCAGTGCTCATCCAGTTTGTTACTCTGAGTTTCCCCTTGATATGTATGTTACTTTGATAATTGTGCTGTGAAACCCTGCAAAGCTTAGAATAGAGAATAAGCATCATGCAGAGCAGCAGAGGCCCCTCTCTTCCTGGATTTATCGTCTCTAAGACTGACATCACCCTTACTGAGTGATGAGCGTTGTAACTTGTGCTTGCACTGCCAAACAGCGGTTCCCAAAGCTGCTGCCTCTGTGGATCTGTGCAGCCTTACACAGGGTTGGGAGCTTTTCTGAGGCCTTATGTGGTAGTTGGCCTTGTAAGCAAACTGCAGCCTGCACTGAAGGTTTGGAAAAAGCTAAATTCCATTTCTGTGAACATCAGCTTACAATGCTTTAACATAGTCTTCATGGGATGTTTTCTGATGAGGTTACACAGGTCCATAGATATTTCCTACAATACTGTTTTAGCTTCAGAGTGTAGTATTAGGTATAGGAAAAGTCTAAAAGAGTTTAAAATAATTGACAACTTTGAAGATCTTCAATTTAAAGAGAGAAACAAGATAATAAAAAGGATTTAAATGCATTTTAAACCTTCACAAAACCAGTTCAGTTTCTCTTACAATTAGTGAGAGTTAATAGTAATACAGATTAACTTTGAGTGATTTCTGAAAAGTAGCACAGATATCTTTTGGTAAAGTTTCTGTGTAAGAGATGAGAAAACTTAAAGTTAGCATTATGGAAGCAGTTAAAAAGTAGGCAAAATAATGTTCAAAATATTGTTTGAAGGAAGTGAGAGATTCTTGTGAGCCAGAAAAGACAGCAGTGAGTAGGATGAGCTAACCCTGGGAACTGCAACCCAAATAATACTGACTGTTTTTTAATCTATTTTTGTTTTATAGGGATGTGGTAAAAAAATGTACACTTTCTTGAGAGGGACAAAGCAGTTGCAAGTGCTGAGATTCCTGGGAATCTCTATTGGAGTAATGCAGATCCTGGCTATGATCCTCACTATTACTTTGCTGTGGGCCCTGTACTATGACAGAAGGGATCCCAGAGCAGATCAGATCATGGCACTGAAGAGTGATACCTCGCAGGAGCTGTCATGTCATTCCATGGAGCTGCTGAAACCAAGCCTGACCAGGATCTTTGAGCATACATCCATGGCAAACAGCTTTAATACACACTTTGAGATGGAGGAGCTATAAGCGATGCAATGAATCTGTCAAGTCACAGAGGATTTTTTGTTTTGTTGTTACTTCTGTTCTGTTCCATCCAGTCTTCTTATGTGTCAGAAACCAGCTAATGAATGGAAGTGAAGGAGACCAACAAAGAAAGATGAGCCTGTTGCCAGCCTCTTAGCCATGTCCTCAGCGGTGAAAAAGAGTTGATTTTGTGTGTTCATTTTTTAAAAGGCACTCATTCAGGTGGGCACGGTAATACTCACTGTCACAAGCTGTGTGAAGTGTAAAACACTGACTCAATCACAGGTAGACTGAACCTGCAAGGAAGCATCATGGAAGAGAAATATTCATCTTCTGAAGAAACAACTGTGCTTTGAGCAAACAAAATGTGACTTCAGCTGAAATAGACTTTTAATAAGCCATTTGGAAAATGTCTTTATCAGGGATCTATGTATGTATAATTGTGTGTTTTCATGTGTGCATGGAAAGCAGAGCTACAATTCAAGTTAATACTTGGATTAAAAATTTGTAAAAAGGGCAAGATTTTCTTTTTTCTAACAAAACCTTTATCTTAGTTTTTGTTCTTAAAGATGTTCTAAAACTTCTATTTTTATCTAACATAATGGTTTTTTAGTTTAAAATATATTAAACAGGGATTGAAAACAAAACTATTGCTATGGACAATAGCCTTTAGTTTTCTGGAGAATTCTTCATTCAAACAGTTTGTTCTGTGGACTGTTTCTTAGTAAAAAGGAAGAAAACTTAAAACATTCTTTCCAAAATGGGAATCAGTATGGGAGTAGCACATTTTTATAGGTAAATCTTTTCTCCTGTCCGTGATTCCCCTGAAGCTAGAAACAAAAGACTGCAATAAAAATGCTTACAGTTCTGGATGCTATTGCAATAATTGTAAAAGTACATGAGGAAAAATTTTACTTTTGTGAGTGCTTCATTAAGAACTCTCTGGTGGCTTAAAATGCCAGCCGGAAACAGATTAAAATGTATTTATTGAGGTGGGGAAAGTGCATTTTACTGTATTTTTATGAACAATGTCTATGTCATAGGATTATTTTTGCAATTGGCCACGCTCTTGAAATATATATTTGTTCCACTGAGTGTAGTAGTTTGTGGCAAATGGGCTTTTTACATAATATTACATTTAAAAAATTAGTTCATTTGTTTCGGAATTTGTAAAAGAAAAAACAAGGTGTGATTTGGTAGACAATAAAATTACTTTTCTCTTAAATTCTGTTATGGCTTTTATTTTTTTTTTTAGTCCTAGAGTGGGAGTGCTTTGGATGGGCATTGGGAGGGTCCTCCTGCTGGTGTGGGTTAATTTGATTTACCCATTCCACTTACTCTGTTGTGGAGAAACTGCAATATTGGTATAATTTTTTTAATTTTTTTTTTATTGCTTCTGAGAAAACTTCTTAAGGGCTTGTGAAATTAAGCACTTCAGTTGTGTGGGCTATTTGCTTTTCAGCAGTCTGCTTCTGGGTATAATTATTTCAAGGGTACTATTGCAAGCAAGATTACCTTTCTGCTTTTGTACTTCTACAGAAGCTAATACTTATTTTGGGAGGTAAAAAGAAGATAAAAGGAGAGACCATCCCAAAATTTTGCTTGGAGTGTCTTCGTCAGGAATACATTCTTATGTTCTGCTTGGGAAGCCTTGTCCAGGTGTTGCTGAACAAGGTAGAGCCGAGCTCCACCCCTCCCACTGCTCAGCCTGGCTGGTGATGCCTGAGCTAAGGGTGGGGTTCCTGCTGAGGAGCAGGTGTCTGGCAAAGTCTGAGTGCAGAGCAACTCCAGCCTTCAGAGTGCCACTGGCACCAGTGCTGCTACACAGTGCATTGAGTCAGCATTTGCCCCTGTTTAAAAACAAAATAAAAAAAAAGTCCACACAAACCACAAATTGTGGAATCTTGATTATGGATTACGTGTACACAGCTACATTTGGCAGCGAATTACTGCTGAATGTAGGGAATTTCACTTAAGTAATGTAAAAAGAAATATACAATTCCCTTTTTCCAGGAAACCTCAGCCCTTAAAGTTTTACCCCAGGAGTGTCTGTGGAAGCCATACTTAGCCATGCTTCAAATATTCCTAGTTTTTCCATACAAGGACTGTTCAGATGGTCATGGGGGTTGCCTGTGTATCTTTTTGTATCCAGGTTAGAGCTCATCAAGGAACAAATAGGGCAAGCCAAGCTAGGGGGTTGTGTTGGGATTCAGAGATGCTTAGAGCCCAGGTGATTTGGTTTTAAGCTGTATGGGTGCTGAGGTAGCACTGCCTTCAGGGGTAGTCAGGTTTCTTTAACAGCAGAGGGATTGCTTTGGGGAGGCCTCCTTTGACACAGAGCCAACCTTCCAAAGCAGTGCTTATGGACCTCCACAACAATGAACAGTCAGGAAAACCTCGCTTGGGCTTGGCTACCCAAATCCTGAGCCAGTCTACATTATGGGAAAGAATATTTCTATTTTGAGTATTTAACCACATTTGCAGAAATAGGTCTCATCTGTAAATTGGAACACTTCAAGAATTTTTTCGTTGACTGCTCAGGCTATCAGGTGCCTGTTTTTCTAGGGCTTCTTCAAAGAGGTTTAAAATTAATTGGCTAGGCTGCGGTGAGCCTGCTCTTTTCCTGCGGAGCTTTAGAATCTATGTAGGAGAGAGACTGTTTGGCAAGACAGGAACATTTAGAGATACTTGAGGCAGTGAAAACTACTTCCTCTTATTTTCTTTTTTCCTCAGTTTTACAGGAGTACTTGGAGAAGGATGGTGTGGTTTTGTTCTCTGCAGCATGAAGTGTAATGAACTAAATCTTGTTGCAGCAAACAACTACAGAGATGCTCCTTAACATTTTTCAGAGAGCACTCAAGGAGTGCAACTGTATCAGAAGGGCTCACTCCCTGCCAGCACCAAGTTTTGTCTTCAGCCTAGTGACTGTACCAAGTCCACGGGACTGTGCGTATTGCTGTGGGACTGAGCATGCTTTTAAGAGGCAAAACTCACTATTTGTGGTCCTTGGATCTAGTCCTGGTATTGATTCCTCTGCCAACAGGTTGTATGACAAGTTTTTTTTTTTGAAGGAAAGAGCTGTATTTTCTTCTTTATAGCTTTTAATTTTGTAAAAGTATATATGAATAGAAGGGGATATATAAAGAATGAATAGTAAAAAGAGAGGCTGTAGGTCACAGCAACTATATAGTTAAATGTGGTGGAGGAAGGGATTTATAAATAGCTTTTAAAGTTTTTATTGCGAAAGCATTGTATTTGGTCTCAGAGCATGGTGCTAATAATGCTAAGATTGCAAGCTCAATCCCCATATGGGCCCTTCACTTAAGGGTTGGACTTGGTCCTTGTGTGTCCCTGCCAACTCAGAATATTCTGTGATTCTGTAAACTGTGTAGAAAAACACAAATTATTAAAATCTTACAGCATTGAAACACTAAGGATTTGCATGGCACAGTAGTGGGGAGGCGGTGGGGTGATTTCTGTGAGAAGCTGAGAAGCTGTGTCAGACACATCTGTGTCTGACAGAGCCAGAGCCAACCAGCACAGACCCACTGCTGGCCAAGGCCGAGCCCTTGGGTGACAGGGGTAACACCTCTGGGATAGCTATGTAAGAAGCAAAAAAAGTGACTGTGGCAACAGCAAGTGAGTTGGAGAGAGGAGTGAGAGGAGCTGCTCTGCAGACACAAAGGTCAGTGAAGAAGGAAGGGCAGGACATGCTCCAGGCACCAGAGCAGAGGTTCCCCTGCAGCCAGTGGTGCAGCCCATGGTGCACCAGGCTGTGTCCCTGCAGCCTGTGGAGATCCGTGGTGGAGCAGAGATCCACCCACACCGGAGCAGGTGGGTGCCTGAAGGAAGCTGTGACCCTGTGCATAGCCCCACTGGAGCAGGCTCCTGGCAGGACCTGTGGAGAGAGGAACCCACGCTGCAGCAGGTCTGATGGCAGCTGTGTGTGACCCTGTGGGGAGCCCATGCTGGAGCAGTTCATGAAGAACTGCAGTCCATGAGAAGGAGTTCTCCGCTCCATGTTTGTGGAGAACTATCTCCCATGGAGCAAGTAAAGAGCGTGAGGAACCCTTCCTGGGAGGAGGAGGGAGCATCAGAAAACACATGATGAACTGACCACAGACCTAATTTCCTGTCTCCCTGCAGCTCTGAGGAGGAGGTAGAGTTCAGGAATGAAGTTGAGCTTGGGAAAAAGGGAAGGATGGGGGAATGATGTTTTATATTTTATTACCCTATTTGGATTTGATTGGTAATAAATTGCAGCAAGTGAAGTCTGTTTTTCCTATGACAGCAGACAGTGAGTGATCTCTCCCTGCCCATGATATATTATTTTGCTACATTTTCTCTTTCCTGCCCAGCTGAGATGGGAACAGACAGAGTGGCTTTGGTGGACATCTGGCATCCTTTCAGTGTTGTCAGCCCACCACAAGCATTGCATTTAATTCATGCAAAATGCTATTGTGGAAGTGAGATTGTATCTAAAACTTTCTAACTTGTGTATGATTGACTACTTCCTGTTAAAAAAAAAAAGTTATGTCCTAAACTTTTGAGGATTTTTATATATCCACCTCCTTTTTATTCAGCACTCCCCCACTTCAGTTGTTCCTTATGCATAGGTACTGTAAAGTAGACAACTTGATGACATTGGCAGGTAAGAAACTAAGCTGTTGGATAATTCCATATACCTGCTGGACATTGCCAATCTACTCTTTTAGCCACATGTTTATACATCCCATCAGCTGATGGCTCCTCTAGAACAGGTGATGGTGCTAAAATATTCCCATTGTAAAATAAAGCCCTGGTGGGCCTCAGGTGCAGCAAAGAGAGCTTATGACCTCCTAACCATGCTCCCTGCCCAAAATTTAATGATGGCTTCAGTAATTTGTCCCCCTCCAGATCAGCTTCCTCTCTGAAGGCCCCCTTCTCTCTGCAGCAGCTGAGGCTGCATTGGGTTCTCTGCTGTGAAAGTCTTCTCTTGGTAGCCAGGGTGCTTCCACCAAGAGTAGATCCACAACTTCAGAATGTAAACTGTATGTTTTCAGTTTGCCTTCTGTAGCTATTTTATGAGAGGACAGTTATTCTTAAAAATGCTCTGGGATGGTTCACAGACAGGTGTTATCTGTTATCTTTCCCCACCACCCAGAGCAGGGAGCTCCTGGCAGAGGCAGCCATCAGGTGTGCCACGGTTGATCAACATCATCTGTACCTAGCTGCCCTTCATTAGTGATCCAATGCTGTGTTACTATCTGCTCTTAGGCTACAAAGAGTTTGATCTTCTCTGTGCACTAGTATTTTCTCAAGGGAATTTGATACCAGGTATGAGAAGTTCAGAGCAGTTTGGTTTTTGGAAGTACATAAGGAACATTTCTTAAAGTACAGATAAATAGGAGTTCATAAGTGCAGGAAATAATGCTCCAGTTTTCTCTGCTGCTACAGGCTGGGGAGGGAAAGGTAATGGCTGGTCCCTCAGGAGAAGGGCAACTCTGTAGTGGAGCTGTGGCATCCTGGTCTTGATGGCTCTAGTAGGGTTTAGATACATTCACATCTTGCCTGGAATTAGTGTCTAGGACATTTGCTGACTTCAGATTCAGTGTTCCTTCCAAATTATTAGAGGGGGGAAAAAAGTTTCATGAATAAGTTATTGCAAAACCAAGTTGACCCATTCAAGCATGCAGATGTTTTATTTAAATATTCCTCAAATGTCTATTTATTCAGCATAACACGTGTATTATGCTGCCTTCTGAAATACGATATATGACTGTCAAACAAAATTGTCAAAACAACAACCTTGGTTCCTTTGTGTGATACACAGAAATAATTACATTTCATGTACAGTACAGATGCATTTTACACAGTCATCAACAGTCATTCACTACCAAAACAGCATTTAAATCACCTAAAACACCAAAAAAATGTGTATTTCCCAAATTCAGAATAAATTAATGGTTTTGCGCGTGACATATGGAAATAGGAGACAGGACTGGAATTCTGAAAAATCATACTAAATTATCTCTTAAGCTGCATTTTAAAAATGAAAATACAAGTTGCTTCAGGGGTATAACTGTTATGCAAGTGTATTGCTGTAGTGCGTTCTTTCTAGAGCCTATGAACAGGAGAATAAAGAGCTTTTAAAAGACACATGACCTGATGGAGTCAGTAGGTTCCTGGGTTGTGTGTAGTCTGTACCAAAGTAGGTTTAGTAACTGCCCCTTTACATTATTTAGC